AGCTGTTTCTTGCATAAACTTTACCATTAGGTCGTTTCAGTGTAATCATAGATCCTTTAACATCTAATACAACGGATGGTTCAGCACTAAAAGGCGTAGACAATTTATTGACTTTATTCTGTTTCACTAATACAAAGTCTCCTTGCATGAGATCGGATGATTTGGCATGGAACTTTTGATCTGCATATGATTTCATCTTACATTTGGCAGCTTTATCGTTTATTCTAGCCAATTTCTGGTGGTTGTCTTCACTTGGTGTTTCTAATGAATTTTCTGAAAGTTTGGTTTTGATTTGACGATTAAACAACAGTTGAGCTGGTGATACACCGGTTGTAGAATGTGGCGTTGCTCTATAGTTGAGTAAAAATTGATTAAGATCTCTCTTCCATTCTCCCCTTTCAACAAAAGATGAACGAATGTACTTTTCGATCGTGCGCATAAACCTTTCAGCTTCACCATTTGCCTTAGGTCAGTATGGAGTGACACGTGCATGATGAAAACCAACAGTTTTAGCATATGATTGAAAATCTGCACCATTAAATGGGGGTCCATTATCAGATTTAAGTTCGTGAACAATTCCATGTGTAGCAAACATTTTGTCTAACTTTGGTACAATACAGTGAGCTGAGGTTGATTTGATGATTTCTACTTCTGGATAACGAGAGTAATAATCTATAACCACTAACAGATAGTCTAAAATCAGCACTAACATGACTCCAGGGTTGTGATGGAAATTCTGTCATGTGAAGTGGTTCTGGTTTTGGCGAGGTTCCAGTGTTTGCTGATTGACAAGGTATACAATGATTGATGAGTGATTCTGTATCTCGATCAATGTTGGGATACCATACTTTTTCTCGAAGTAATCGTTTGGTTTTAACAACTCCTTGATGACCTTCGTGAGCTATTTTGAGACAATTATCACGTAGAGATTCTGGTATTACCAATTTTGAATTTCTGAGGACAACTGATGAAACAACCGATAACTGGTTTCTGACGTTGTAGAATGGTTTAATGTCAGGATCAGCCTTATTCCAGATATTGGTGTTGATAGATTGAATCAATTTCTGCATAGCTGGATCCGTCGATGTAGCTTCTCGGATCATCTCTAAAGTCATAGATTTTGGTACAGCATTATTAGCAATATAATTAACATATTCTTCTATGTCTCTATCAAAATTTGGTTGGCAGGGTTGAGGGTGTCTCGATAAGAAATCAGCAGGATTGTTAGCTCCTGGTTGATATTCAACTAGTAAGTTGTATGGTTGCAAACGTAGTAACCAACGTTCAATTCTTGCTGTAGGTTTGGAAAGTGGTTTATTAAAAATCCCCTCTAATGGTTTGTGGTCCGTGATGATGATGAAATCTTTTCCATAGACATACAGATGATAACGTTCTGCAGACCAAACTATGGCAAGTGCTTCACGATCTATTTGGAGTATCTTCTTTCAACATCAGATAGGCTTCTGCTAGCATAAGATATGACGAAGCGATGATCACCTGCATCAACTTGGGTAAGTATTGCTCCGAGTCCTACAGGACTAGCATCTACAAAGATCTCTGTTTTTCTTGCAGGGTCAAAGTACGATATAACTGTCTCGACTGATAGACTATCCTTGAGATTTTGGAAAGCTGTTTGATGTTCTTCAGTCCATGACCATTCGATTCCCTTTTTAGTTAATTCTCGGAGAGGGTCGGTGATTATCGAATGATGTGGAATGAATCGGGCTATATAGTTTGTCATTCCTAATAAGCTTCTTACAGCAGCAGCATCCTGTGGAACAGGTGCTTCTTTTACTGCAGCAACTTTAGCAGGGTTTGGAGATATACCCTGAGGCGAGAATGTAAATCCGAAAAATTCAAGTTTGTGTTGGTTGAACAAACATTTGTCGAGATTTAGTTTAAGATTCTTTTCACGTAGGCGTTGAAATACCATATGAAGAGATTGGTTGTGGTCAGTGTCTGATTTACCATAGACAATGATATCGTCGGAGATGTTCTTTACACCTGGTATGCCTGTCAAAACTTGCTGGATTATGTACTGGAATATCTCAGATGCAGAAGATAAGCCAAACAATAGTCTTTTGTACCTTCTTAATGTTGTAAGGTAGCGTGATGATGAGGCTAACTCAATTTGATGATAACCTTGAAAGAGATCCAGTTTTGAAAATGCTGTGGATCCATTAAGGTCATGTATGATTTCATCTAAGGTTGGTGTTGGGTGACGTTGTCTGGTAACAGCTGTGTTGGCTGCTCTCATATCAACACATATTCTGACTGTGTTATTCCGTTTCGGTACGATTACAATGGGCGATACCCAAGGTGTCGGTCCAAATACTTCCTCGATGATGTCAGAGTCTTGAAGTTTTTGAAGTTCAGCCTCAACTAATTTTCTTGTATGGAAAGGAATGCGTCTCGCAGGTTGAGCAATAGGTTTAACTGTTTCGTCTATGTGGATTTGGAATTGGTAGTCTTTTAGTTTGCCTAATCCTTAGAAAAAAACATACTAGATCAAGTTCTAAACAAGACTTGTACCCAATAAGAGTGCTTGCTTTCTGGTCTGTGACATAAAATAGTGCCGTACATTACTTGATTGGAGTTTCTATAGTAGCATCAAATACTCCTAGGATTGGTAGAGGAATTGTTGAACCATACACGTAGATCTTAGATTTTGGTGTTCTCAACTCTAACGCTTTATGCTTGATGATTTTCTGATATGTTTCCTTGTCGACGATATTGACTGATGCTCCAGTGTCGATGATAACAGGAATGGTTACACTAGCAATGGTTAGATTAGTAAGCGGTTGCTTGCTGTTGGTTGGTGAGTCGACTGTGAAAATATATTCATCATCAGAAGATGATTGACTGTCATGAATAAGATTGATTGATTTAGGTTTGGATCCTCCATTATTGGATTTCGACTTTGATTGGTTATATCGATTGGTTGGTTTAGCAAAAGTCTTGGTATTCGTAGATGTGGTCGGTCGACCTCCTCCTCTACAAACTCTTGCAAAATGATTTAACCTTCCACAATTAGAACAGGTTTCCCCTTTTGCTGGACATGGTTTGTCTACATGGGGTCAAAATCCACCACATAAGCCACAGGTTTGGTTTTGGTTATGCCGATTAGATTTGGGATGGTTGTGAGGTTTAGAATTCTTGGTTCCACCTGATGACATATAGTTGACAGATTCTGATTTTGTGGTACCGGTACGTGACGAATGATCCATTTGGTTAGTTTGACTCTCAGCGGATTCCATAGCTTGTGAAATATCTATGATATTGTCGAGTTTAAGATCCTTCTCTCTGAGTAGACGCCGTTTAAGTCTTGAAGACGAGCATTTCTCGACTACTTGATCAGCAATGGCATCATTAACATCAGGAAAATCACAAGTAGCTGATAGTGATCGAAGGCGAGTTACGAACTGACTGATTGATTCACCTGAATTCTGACTTGCTTGTTTGAAAAATATATCTTTCGAATCTGATGTTTTTCTTTGGTTCAAAATAATCTTTCAATTTATCAGATGCCGTTTTAAAATCTTCACCAGTATCAGATAAACCATCGAAAACTTCTTGAACTGATTCACCTGCAAGGTGTAGAAGTAATGCACGTTTTTGTTTATCATCCCTTACAACCAAAGCCAGGATGTATACATCAAATCGGTCACGCCATTTCTTCCATCTGGTTGCCAATGAGCTATGGTCGGAGTCTGCTTGAAATTTCGGAATCGCCGACAAATTTAACATTTGAGCCATGGTAGATGATATTTATGTGACCATTACTTTACCTCGTCGCCAAATATAATGTTTATGGGTGGATCTTGGTGATGTGTAAAAGATATATATAGTTTAACTACATTTTAATCATAAAATTGGACGGCGTGCATCTTAGTTATGGGCGCAGCCATATTCAATTAAGGGACATAACTCTCAATACATAAAATGATCAGAGGAGTCCGAAACACTGGACACTACACTAAGCACATCAAATACTTTTCTTTGGTGATAAGACCTACCTTTTCGCAAAACCCATGTTGAATTGTTGTAAATTATCAAAACAATCGTCAGAAAAGTACTCTGCGCACAAAACGCTTCTTGTCGACTGACTCAATTTATCACGCTTCACTTGCACAAATTTTGTCCACAGGCGAGCTCTCTCATGGTTGTTTGGCCATTCTTGTAGCTGACTATTAGCATGGCTACAAAAGATAGCCACACAGTGGCTTCTGTCACTTCTGTTTTGGTACAGTGGAGAAAATGTCGGGCATCAACAACAAGTTCTGGATATGACGTCACTTTCCGAAGATTCACGAAAACTGTCGAGGATTTTTTGTGGCGTAACTACGGGCCGTTGCTATGAATTTGCATATGGTTTTTTAGCGATAACTCGGGAACGGAATGAGGTATCGAAATGAAAATAACTACATTATTTTTGTAATATGGTTATTTACGTAAAAAGGACATAAAAGGAAATTTGCACTACCCCTGGCGAAATATAATATATCCTCAAATACAAATCTAGCTCAACATATTTTCAAATACAAAACTTAAAACACAAAACTTGAACAAATGTTCAAAACAAATGTTCAATAACAAATCTCGCTCAACAAATCTTGCGAAACATTTCTCCAAATACATGTCGAATGTATTTGAAGGTCATGATTATGTCGACAGATGTCGCTGTACAACCAACATAAAATAAGATATAGGGCCAGATTATGAGATAGTCTCTATCACCCAGTTCAATTTTCAACGCGCTCAACTACGACGACATCCTGCAATTTCCGTAAATACGTAGACCCCTTGCTACGACTGCAATTTTTAATTTTCATGAGCTTGAATATATATCTACTGTAGTCCTAGTCGCTTGTGTTTTAAAATGTCTTTTAGTTGAAGAAAATCTAAACATGACCATATCATATTGGATAAGCCTATTGTCAACGTGAAACTTGTTTTTATTTTCTTTTTAAGTTATTATCTTGAATTTTCAAGTTAGTAACTTGAAAATTCAACATACTAACTTGAAAATTCAACATACTAGCTTGAAAATTCAACATACTAACTTGAAAATGCAGCATACTAACTTGAAAATTCAACATACTAACTTGAAAATTCAACATACTAACTTGAAAATTCAACATACTAACTTGAAAATACTAACTTGAAAATTCAACATACTAGCTTGAAAATTCAACATACTAGCTTGAAAATCCAAGTTACTAACTTGAAAATTCAACATACTAACTTGAAAATTCAACATACTAACTTCAACATACTAACTTGAAAATTCAACATAGTAACTTGAAAATTCAACATACTAACTTGAACATACTAACTTGAAAATTCAACATACTAGCTTGAAAATTCAACATACTAGCTTGAAAATTCAAGATACTAACTTGAAAATTCAACATACTAACTTGAAAATTCAAAAAAAAAAAATGAATGGCCCTAATACACTTCCGTACGCTTCCGTACATTTTGCCTCTGTGATTTTCTAAAAAAAAGGAGAGGAGGTTTCATAGGCGTAAGCCTGATCTCCAATCCTTTTCTTAGGAATAAAATGTTGTTTACAAAAAACAAAAACCCGACAATCGACATAGCCTAAAAAAAATTCTCAATGTTGCGGTAACCCGAAAATAACTATTAACACACACAAGAACCAAAAATTCTTCTACGGATTTAGCGAGTCTTGAACGACTTCTATCCCTCCTTCGTATGACTCCTGTGAACTTCAGTCCTGATTTTGGAATTATTCAATTAAGCTCATGAAAATTAACAATTGCAGTCGTTGTAAGGGGTCCACGTCTTTATGGAAATTGCAGAAAGTCATTGTAATTAATCGCGTTGAAATTGAACTGGATGATAAAGGCTATCTATAGTCTATATCTTATTTTATGTTGGTTGTACAGCGACATCTGTCGTCATAATCATGACCTTCAAATTCATTCGACAATTATTTCGCAAGATTTGTTGAGCGAAATTTGTCATTAAACATTTGTGTTTCGTATTTGACGTTTTGCATTTGAAGTTATGTTGAGCTAGATTTGTATTTATAGATTTGTATTTGAGGATATTTTGACAAAAATTCTATTAATTCAATGATTGGAAAACCGAATGTTTACCGAAGAATGCTCATTTTCAGTACAAATTATGATTTTTGTATACTAATGTCAATTTTCAATGACAAATTAACAATTAACCATGCAAATTAAGATTGCAATTAGATTTAGAATTAAGAATTTAGAAATAGCAATAAAAAAACATTGAATAAAACGCTATAGGCATGTCTGTGACAATCTTTGCTTTAAAAGGATTGTGAAGAAAACCTTCCAGGTTTGGCCCTGTTTGTCTTGTATGTTTCAAAAAGCTGAAATTGCTTGGAGACTGTATACCTGAAGCAAATTCTTGTTATTTTCTAAGCGATTTTTTATTTATGTCACAACAGTTTCCAAGACAAGATTAAATGTCCTGCTTATCCAGGGCTCTTCTGGGGCATTGGCCGGGTCATCATGCGCTTGTCTCCCGTCCATTCTTATTCGACGACGTTGCATTTTGTTTTCCATTGCACATACAATGTATGGTAATACTAATAGCCACCTAAACTGTAGGTTTTATAATCCCTAAAATAAATTTAACTTCCGAAAATACGCCATTAAGTTGATTCGCCCAAACCGTCAATAAACTCTTCAGGAATGAATGGATATAAAGACTTATATTTTGAAACGGACGAAAAAACACTGTTTTTATACTTTGAATATTTAAAATCATAATAAGGATTTTCGTTATGTTTTTAAAGTTCTCTTTTTGCGCCCCTTGACGAAAAAGCTTTGAAAACATGATATTCGTGATATACACACATTTAAAAATGTCAACAAAACCATAGGCCTATTTAGATTCTTAAATGGTTATAAGGCAATAAAGACTACCGAGCGGATGTCCCCATAAACAGAAATCTTGTCTTTCACCTGCTTTCAAAAATATCACAACCTAATAACTACCTTCAGAAGCGTGTTTATGAGAAATATCTTCGCCTGAAATTGCCTTAATTTTTTGAAGTACAGCTGAATCGAATGTGTCCATTGTTGGTATTGATTTTTCTTCTGATTCTGACTTTTCTGCCCATTTAGGCTTATTTGACAAAGTTTCTGTTACAGTTACTTCTGTAAAAACAAAAGAAGGATTTAATTAATGACTTTTTTTTGCGAAAATACCAAAATACATTCAAAATAAGGGTTGAATGACCGATTAATACCAAGATGTTGTACCATCTGCAACAAACAAGAAGAAAGAAATCATTTGTCTAGAGCAAAAATACATTAAGTTATCAGAGTGAAAAAAATCATTCAAGTTTATTTCTCCTGCTTTTTTATGTTCTGATAAATTTGTCGTGTTAGATTGCACAACTTCATCAACTGAGTGCTTCAAATAGTTTACCTTTGGTTAATACATCATTGTTTTGAAGATACTTTTTGACTGTACTCGTGGATGTTTTGAAACTATTCTGGCACATTTCCTTGTCTTCTATCCATTCATACCAGCCCCGTTCTTCTCTTCTATGACACATTTTGAAACCTTTAACACAAATTGGTTATTGTTAAATAAACCTTTAACATGAGCATGAAAACGCCTATGTTTCATTATCAATCGATCGTCAAAGAGAATTTGTTTAAACCTAAGAAAGTTTTAGTACTAAGCAATAGGATTGGGACAATACAAGCCTGTCTGTTTCACCTTACAAATGACAATACATTTCCTGTTGAAAAGCTGCCTGTTACCTCAGTTCAGATTTATTTTACTTATTTCTATTAAAAAAAAAGAAATCATTTTCAATATGTTATAGGTACTAAGATGTTTCTTTATTACATGAATACATAGTATTTTTGGAAGGGAAGACAATGTATAAATTTAACATGCAATATCAATTTCTTTTTTCAACAAATTCTGCTGAATTCTTGCAAAAACTGGTAACATCATGCTATATAGCCAAATATATGTATTTCAAATTTCATATGAGTATATATAAATCATAAATCATATGAAACATAAGCTTATTAATGATACTATTGGCCCTAACTTGAAAAATATGTTGAAATTTTAAGTTACATTTTGTTATATAACCTGTATTTGTATGGTATTGTTAATTTTATAAAATTATTTTTAACTTTCTTGTTTTTTTAATTAATGAATATGCTTGAAAAAAAAATGTTTTGTAATTTTCATATACAGAAGTAGGCCTATGCAGGCTTAGATTATAGTTAATATATATTATTATTATTATATTAATTTTATAATCCCTTCTTTCAAATTTCGCCTATCATTTATCAAAAAGATTTCTTATAATTACATATTTGATAAAAGACCGTCAAGTGATTTTCACATAGCCTATTAAAATTATGGCATGGGACATTCGATTATCTCAGATACTAGGCTAGGCTGCGTTTATCCCTTTCCTTTATGCTTCTTTGAAGATAACCTTGGATATGAGGAAATTACGCTGGATTTTTTCAAATATAAAGTTACAACTGCATATTACTGTTTATTTGAACACAAAAGAGCAATTTCATATCCATAATTCATGTAAAATCGCCAAACTTTCCGCTCAAAACAAGATTGAAACAAGCAACTTATTTACGATCTGTGACGTCGTGACCTAATTATGCGCAACCATGACGATGGCCCATATTCCGATGCCTCTCATTGGTTGAACTTAAAATATCTCTACGCCTTTACCAAGAAAACCTTATCACTTCGAGAAAATGGTGGCTTTACACCGCAATCAAAGAGTACTTTGGTGCCGGGAACTTTCTAAAGCTATGAAATATTTTTGTGGGAACTTTTAACTGCGAGTTAACCAAGCATAGTTTTACATTTCTATGTGAATCACATGTCGCGCGGAAAATGGGTAATGGAAATGCTCGCCCTTTTCCTAGACTTTTTCCTTTCTTATTTCTACCCTAGCTTTCTCGCCCTTTTCAAGTTTTTGCAAATAATTCATCTACTAGTATTCCGTAAGCCATATTCTATGGCAGTCGCGTAGCATTATTATTCGGAAGAGCACGTAATATATCCGGAGGGGCAATGTGTTATAGTTTGTAGTTGAAGTAATGAAATTAGTCGGTCAGCATTTTTTCTCTGTGGGAAAGAATATGTTTGTCAACGCAAATATATTTTAAGACTATCAGCACTATTTTGAGGCTGATAAAACTTTTTAATTTAATCAGAAAATAGTCTTTATGGCTGCGGATCCGGAATAACTACAGTTTTTGTCTGGAAATTGTAACATAAACCAGGTAACTCCCAATCAGATCAAATTTATTTTTAACCAGGGGCAGTCTGGCTGGACTTTTTTTTTCAAAGAAAAGGTGCACATACCAATAAAAATTATAAAAATCATAAACGAAAACATTTTATAAGAAGTGTATCTATGTTTGTGTATTGTGATGGAAAACTAATATACGCTGTAATAAAAATAAACGTGAAATATGTACAGAAATATTTCCCCTGCATTTTCTAGAGTGTTCAGCAAGATTATCGATCCGTTTATATACGACCAAAACTATACAAAGATGATCAATTAAGAATTCAGTTCTATTTTAATATTTCTATATCCATTTACATATTAATGTATTGAGCACTATTTTAAAAAGTAAAAGCATAGTTTAGTAAACTTTTCACATTTCATATACAATGTTATGAATAATGACAATTAAGGTATTTCTTAGAATTGTAAGCGTTTAGTGAACCTTTAGATCTCATGCGTACTATATTGATTTATATTATATCATAGTCATACAGGTAATTTTCCACATTTTTTTAATTCAGAGTGACTTATAGGACGAATGTTTTATCATTGTTGTTTATAAACTTTGTAATTGTATCTATGTATAATAAATAAACCTACTTAACTACTTACATATCGGCCCATGGGTTTAATTTATAAAATTTAAACCGTAGTTGAAACGGTTTCTATTTGCACGATAATGCCCGATCTTAAGCTAAGTTTCCATAAACGCTTTAAGCCGTGGCGGCATGCCTTATGCCTTATCCGGCAAAAATGGAAAAACATGTAAATAGACGAGAGTGCTTCCATATGTCCGAATGAGAGATTTGTCACGCGGTTGCGAATGGCTGCGGCTGCGGAAAACTGAGTCGATCATGCGGTAACTTAGTACAAAATCGGTTTGGGTAATCCAGAATATGATCATCCTGAAGTATTGCTGAAACTCTTCCCCATCCTATTTAGTTCTTATACCTTATTGTGATATGCACCTTGTTGCAGCCTTTACATGAGCATGTCATGAACCGACCAGCGGCGTATTATTTGCCTATAAGCCTATGCTTTTTCAATTGTATGAATTTATAAGCAATTAGTAACAGGTTATGTTGCTCCCTTTCCAAAAAAAAAAAAAACAAAAAAACAAAAAAACTGCCATTTGGACTGATGCGTCCGCATATTCCGCTATAACGGCTTAGACTTACCGCGTAAATGGTATCTTAGCTTTACTACTACTACTGTAAGTTAAATCCTATCGAAACATATAAAATGAAATTTTAGTATCGTGCTAGTAGGCTACTAATGTTCTGATGCGAATACACTAAAACTAACTCACCATGTAAATGCAAAGTCACGAGTGAAGGTAACTTCCTGGGAATACCAATTTCCACATATATCGAAGGTGAAAATAGAGAATGAATGATCAGTAACATAAATATCAATATCTAGGAATAGATCGATTGTCATCAACAGTCTCCATTCACAAACTATCTGATATACTAAATGTAATGTTATGTATGCTGACAGGAAAAACCAGGAAGTGAGCGAGCATGCGTCTAACTGACTAAGCCATTACGTCCCTATAGCCTATTAGAGTAACTGAAGATCTTTATCTATAGCCTGGATTTGGATTTTCCAACGTGACTACGATTCATATCAGTTTGCCTTGACTTTTATGGAAGGGTTTTTGGGTCTAAATAAGATGATATGCTAGTATTTGTCTAATCCATTGTTGAAATGTTCAGAATGTCAAAATACTTATTATGATACCGTCAACTTTGTCATATTGCTTAAGTAAATTTTAATAAAACAACTGTGTTTTGTCATTTCCTCACTAATTAGCCTACACGTTTACATATCATTTTTGTATTATCATTTTAAATATATCATTTTCTACATATAATTTTGGTATTATCATTTTAAACATATCATTTTCGACATATCATTTTGGTATTATCATTTTCGACATATCATTTTCAACATTTCTCTCAGCAATATGCAAATGAGGTCAAAAGGCGTGGCTTCCAGAAAAAATGTTTTCACACAATGCAAAGTTTCCGTGGTAAATACCCTTAAGAAATTTAACCGATCCCACCGACGTGTAGGCTTTCGTACGAAAGACACTACTCAAGTAGCTCATTGGTCGCCGCTGACCAATTCTACGAATATTCCGTCCAAACTGAACGATTCCTGTTATATTTTTGTTGCCCAGCAGAAAATTATTTGCTTTGTTCAGCCTGACATTTTGATCACATTATTGACCATAGCGAGCGAATCTGTACTCCTTGGAGTAAAAGAGGGCACCTTAAGGGTAACAGATAAGACTCTTCAAAATGTTAATGCTTTTTTTTGTTTACACTATGTTCTTGACGGCCATGGTAATCACGGTTCAGGGCATCGTGGGGAATACGGGATGGACGTGAGACAACGTGGGGTGGACGGGATAGGCAAACGTGACAGACCGTATAATTGCCGTGGATGCTGGTCAGAATTTTAAACTGAAAAAAAATCACGATGGATTAACCTGTCCACCATCAAACTTTGAACGGAAGGCGAACGAATATGAGGAATAATATTTGGATTTTTTTAGGCTTGTGTACCTATATTCACCTATAGATGAATGTATTTTGTTATTATATTCATCGACAGCAATAGGTAATAGTTTAAGCCATTTTTGGCAATTCGTTTCTGTGAACTTTTTGATTAATTTGTTTTTTAGAGTTCTATTAAATCTCTCAATAACTACAGCTTCTAAAAGTAGGATTTGGAATATATTCTAATACATGAATCATTTGTTGATCACCATTATGTCTAAATTCCAAATCATTATGATCTCTGCATAGAATGTCAACGCCGCTTGGTCTATTCTGTTGATTCTTCCCTCGGGTTGAGATTATCGTTTGAATCTAATCGTAAATCTAAACGGGTTCCCGGACTAGTGTAGTTTTGTCTTAAAAGATGTTTTTCGCCCGAATATTTAGCCCAAGGAAATCCTGGAAGTTTAGTGTTCGCTGGGTAAGTTGTAATAGAGCTTACAGATTTACAGTCGTACGATTTGTACTGTATTGTGGCCACAGAAACTTTGATGATTATGCACAATTGTAAAATTTCTTCATATTTTCTGCAAGATCAATTATGAATCGTATATAAAATAGATTTATAAAGAATTTAGGATAATTTAGTAGCACTGCATTTTTGTGTGAATAGCCAAAGACTGTTAACCCTTTAAACACTGAACTGTTCGCGTTCAAAACTGTTTGTGTTCGAAGGGTTAGAAATTAGAGATATTT